CAATATAGTACAAAATGTGTGTTCGATGCTATATGTTTTATAATTGTAGGCTTGTAGCTATATTCTGTCGGGATAACTAGTAGCGCATACCAGCTATTGATTTGCTAATGTATACGATGGCAAAGTTGTTATTAAGTGGAAGTTTGTCACGTGAAAGTGGGCCAAAGTGGAAGGAATTTTGGTGGAAAATATAATGGTAAAAAGTACCATTATACGTTATACATGCTTAGTAGTACACATGAATGTACCACTGTTGCATAATGGTACACATGAATGTACCACTGTAGCATAATGGTACATCTAAATGTACCACTGTAGAAAAAAATCAAATGAAAAAAGAATTGAAAACCCCATAACGCCCTCCTATATACATGCTAAATCAATAACTGCTACGCGCCTATATACACTCATTTTGTTGTAGTTCGTAAACTAAGAAATCAATTGTTTGACATGAGGGTCAAGGTCTTAAAATACTATGCAGCGTAACACACCTTTGCTACCCCTGAGAAGATGCACTCTTATTTAACATGCCCAACTCCAATCCAATATCTGAGATTCGACATTCAAAAGCTGTTGAAGCCTGAACGTGTACTTGAATAGGTCTTGCGGTTTACTTGGGGTTCAAAAACAACGTCCAATTTTGAACAAAAATATTCAGCCTATCTTTAAATATCCCCCCTCAACAAAGCTAATTATTTAGATATACATTTTCATAAATCTATGTTGAAGCTAATAATAGACCACTGTAAAACTACCGATGAAGGCACTTAAAAAATAGACCACTGTGGTGTATTTTTATTTTGAAAATGCATACCAAAATCTTTGAACAGTGTCAAATATATATTTAAGTTTCAAATTACCTCTAATAATGTTTTTTTCATAAAGTCAAAATATAAAATTACATAAATTTATATATCCTCATCTTTTTGAATAGGTTCAATACTAGCAAGTCTTTCAACAATAGCCGGAGAAAAGACCCTGACATAAAATGTTCTATTACCAGCATAATAAATAAACATTATCTCACCATCAACCAAGTAATTTTCATTAACAAAACTTTCCCACCCAATATCAAGACACATATTACTTTTGGTATCTTCAATAACCTTCACTAGCTGCATAGGCCATATACGACTATTAGGGCCTCGAAGAACTTCCACAGGACTACAAACTTCAGCCAACAAGGAAGTCCATTCCTCTGGAAGTACCTACAATATTCACAAAGTTATTTACAAACAGGAAAAAAAACAATAAATCATACATAATATATAAAACAAAAACCAAATAACCTACCAACGTATGTCTACATGCATCTCCAAACATAACAATATGACATGGCAGGTTACTATACCTCTCTACGTTTTAGAAATTACAATTAATATGTTATGGTTAAGAAGAATCTGTATTTCAAATCAAATCCCAATAACAATAACCATGTACTATGTTGTCAAAGTGTTTTAATTATGTGTACACATGTTTGACCTAATTTAAAACCAAATATGAATAGAATTAAAGTTACAAAATATTCCCCAATCTATTGTGACTAAAACAGTTGAATCCTAAATTAATCCTCAATACATTCTGAATTAAATAAATCTATTTTATTTTAATTGACAACAACACTTGACTAATTGTAATAGTCAAAATCAATTACAATTAATATTCAAGTATTATTTTCAGTGTAACTTATCTTTACAATAATTGAAATCATAACTTTAAACCTATATTAAAAATGAAAATAAGGTATGAACTCCATAAAAAAAAGGGGACAAAAAACAACTAAAAAAGCTAAAACAGAAAATTTGATGAATATTGGAACAAAAAAATGGCAGTGAATAAAAAATAGGAACAAAATATTTGATGAATATATCTTTGGATATTTATTAAATAAGGTTTTAAAAAATTCTTTTTGGAAATAACTTATATTTTCGGTAAAACCTTTCCGATTTTCAAGGTATTTATTAACCTTGTTTCCTGCGTCCCTATTGCCAAATACATGCATATGTACTTATTGCCTTCATCCATTGAATTGTCAAATCACAACTCTTCACTCCACCTTTTCACCTTCTCACTCCTCTTAAACCGTCACTTCATCCATTACTTAAGCCCCCGTTTTCTCTTTCTCTCCTGTCTCCACCTATTTCACCTTCATCTCCACCTCAAAGCTTCATTATTTTTAGCAATGGCGCCCAAAAGAAAGTCCATTTCCTGTTAAATCCTAATTCTCTTTGTTTAGTTCTTGAATTATTTCAATTTTTTTCTCCCAAACTTTCCAATTTCTACCTCTCTAAAACCTCCTAACTTCCTCAATTATGGTTGGTTTTTTCTCCATAGTGACTCTATACGCCACCTTAAGAAATCCCTCGAGAGATACTGACGATGCAGGTCATTGAAATAAGCCGGAACAGTGAAAACAGCGCCCTTGACAATCAAAACGGCGAAGATGAAGCCCTTGTCAAGGATGCTGTTATCACGTTCCGGCTTATTTCAATAATCTGCAGCAGCCAGGGGCGGATCCAATGTGGGTTCAAGTGGGTTCATTGAACCCACTGATTTTTTACAAAATTTTGAAAAGTTTTATTTTAAAAAAAAATAAGAAAAAGAGGAAAAGGGTTAAATATAATATTTGTGTGATATATGTCAAGAATTAAAGCTGCAGCCCAGTGGTTTTTTTTACCTCCCACCAAACACGAGTTTGTGGGTTCAAAACCCTGCCTAAGATTTTATACCCATTTACTGTAAGTTTTGAACCTTAATTTCTCACTTTTTATACTATTTTACGAGTAATTTAATCATTTACTCTCTTGGGTATTTGATTTTTTGTAAATTGGTAAATGGGTTTCTAATATTTTTATCCAACTTGTGCTTTAAACTCCTTGAATTTAATTCTGGTAGCTGATTTTGTTAATTGGGTTTATTTGGTTACTAGTAGTCACGCCAGAACCCAGATCGGAAGTGATGTTTGTATGTGTAATGAACTTTAGCTATCAATTTGGGTTTTTGGGGTGACTAGTGAAAAAATGGTTGAAATTGGGGTCTTGGGGAAGTATCTCTCGAGGGATTTCTTAAGGTGGCTTATGGCGTCATTATCCTGAAAAAAACCAACCATAATTGAGGAAGTTAAGGAGGGTTTAGAGAGGGAGAAATTGGAATGTTTGAGAGAGAAAGATGAAATGATTCAGGTCCTAAACAAAAAGAAATAGGATTTAGTTATAGAGTAGAAGAATTTAATAGCTAAGATGGAACAAGCCGAAAATTGGTTATCGAAACTTGAGGGAGATATAACCAAAATGATGTGCTTGGATTTGATTTGTAAAGAGATGCTATATTTACAAGTACCCAGTGAGGGAGAATTTTATCAGTAAGGTCTCACTTGCAATGCTCTTATCTGAACTTTACTACCTATAATTTTGACCTTTATTTGAAAGATTCATCACTTGCAGAGATTTCAGTCACGGCCAAATCATGTCCACGCAGCTTAATCCTATCTAGATGGAAGTCGGTGTCATCATTCTCTCTGTTACAACGAGAATCAGACCTGTAACTTCTCACCCGAATAGCCTGATGTATTGAAAAGTTTAGATGAGTGTCATGAGAACTTTTAACGGAACACCAATCCAAACAACAGAAGTACCAGTCACGCATATTATCATTGTTCCTCCATGGCATTTTTTTTATTCCTATTTTGAATTCTTTTACTAAATGTTTCTAAAGTGTAATCGGGTGATTACGGGTAGATGAGAGGTGATCTTGTAAGTTCTTTAGGGCTCTAAAGGAAGAAATAAAAAAAAAAGTTTAAAAACCTACGGGTTGAACAACCCCTAGGCGGAGACGTAGGCATTTTTTGCCGAACTTCGTAATAATATCTGTCTCTTTTACTGCTTTTTTGCTTTATTTTACTGCTTTTACTTCTGTTTGATTTACACAACTTGTTTTCATCCTTGAAGTAAATCTCAAAGCCTTGACATTGAATAGTTAAATCAGTTTATTACGCCTTTGAACAACCTTAGGCGGAGACGTAGGCATTTTTTGCCGAACTTCGTAATAATATCTGTCTCTTTTACTACTTTTACTTCAATTTTATTTACGCAACTTGTTTTTAAGCCTAGAAGTAAATCTCAAAGCCTTGACACTGAATAGTTAAATCAGGTACGCATTGAAACTGCGTTCGGCAAGACCTTGAAATTTAAAACTTGCGACAATTGGCCATACTCTATTCAACCCCCACTTCTAGAGTATACTTGTTATAATTCCATCACCCTATTGACCCTTCATCCTTGCCGGAATTCAACAAGCTTATATCAGTTGTGATTTTGACTTGGGAGTGGGATGTACGCTTTTTTTGTATGTTTGATGGAAGTCAAAGCCATTGCTAATATGCAGGTTGTATTTTTCAAGTCCGATATTTTCAAATTTTGTTTTCTAAGTTATAATCGGCTTTATTTTCAAAAGACAAATTTGGATTAAATATTCACTTATCTCAAGGCCTTAACCTTAACCCTTAAATGAAATACAAATAGAAATACAAATAACTGAGCTCATTGATTTCTTTTTCTTTAAGGCCACTGTAGTACAAAACTGATTCATTCAAACATTAGTTTTGAAGACACTCTACGAATTATTTTACACAGCCTTGAAAATGATCTCAAGACCTTAACCCTGTATTATTAATACAACAAACAATTGACAATTGGAATAATATTTTATACTCCCTCCGTTAATTTTTATTTGCAAATTAAAATTTGCCATTTTAGTCCGCTAACAATTATGTGCAACTTTCTATTTTATTTCTATTTTTAGTACACAAAAGCCCTGAAAATTACAAATTTACCCTTAATTAAAAATTCTGATTTTAATAATTTTACTAGTGGGTGGGCCAACTTTCTCTCTCCAAACACTTTAATCACTTTCATTTACTCCCACTAATGTTTTCCCCTTAAATTTTGCCTCATGAACCGCAAAATCCCCCAAAGTTGCAAATAAAAATTAACGGAGGGAGTATTATTAATACAACAAACAATAGTAATAATATTTCGTCAATTGACAAACTTTTTGAGTATTAAACAAAACTGAAAATAATAACCATATCCTAGAACCCATATTACACATTCCAAACTGAAATGAATTAACAATATCCAAATCCTGTAAGATTATTCAGAACATTCCACAGTGGGAAAAAATACAAATCGAAATACAAGTAACTGAGCTCATAGATCTGTCAGCTCAGGAATTCGGCCCCTCCTTTGCCTAGCCTTGAAGTTAACCCCAGGCACTGATAATTCATGCATCTACATCCAAACAAAGTTACTTCAGATTCAAATTCAAAGTACACAGGTGAAACAACTACTTTAAGATCAAACCTCACATTATTCGCTCCAGCTTGTAGGGGTCTTACACTATCCCTTGCATCCCTTGGGTGTTGTTCACCGTAAGCAACATCCAATAGCTTCAACCACACAACCAAATACAAATGGAAAAAGGTTACTCTAAACCTTATTTGATTGAAGCAGAACACTATGCATACTATGCAATATAATACAAATACAAAAGTGCTTACCCCTAGTTTCCCGTAGTCGCCGGACAGCAATTTTTCTGATTTTGCTGCCTTCCCAATCTGTTGCATTGTCCACACTTTAATTCTTGGAAAAACATCCCACTGAATAGGATCCCTATCCAACCAATTCAAGTAAAATATCTGCCAAATAATAAAGGCAAAACAAGCAATTACTAAACCACAAAAGCAGAAGATAAAAAAAAAAAAAAAAAAAAAAAAAACAGGCAACAATACACTGAAAAACATACTACGGCAAATATTGCACACCCGCCGCATCCACTGGCAAACCCATTAGCATATAACGTCAAGCAAAGTTTTATACGCTCTCTAGCAACTTCGACAACACTAAAGAACACCAATCGTACTCAATTGCCTCCATAACACAGCTTACTGCAGGTAGTAGGTCAGACGTAAGCCGAGGTGACTGCGTGGGACACAACACCATCTTTAAAGCAATTATCAAGAACAACGTCTTGAATTCCTCTTCCTCTCCAACATCAAAGTACCCCTCCAGCCGATTCATCATATCTGAACTTAATGGTATGCCTACAGACGTGTAGACCTGACCAGATTGTCTACCAGATTTGGACTCCCACGATTTACCATACTTGAGAATAAATATCTGAACCTTCAAACGATCATGTTGGGTCATGGTTTTAGTACTAGGAACAGTCCTAGAACCCATTGGTATCCCTAGTACCCACCGAACCTGATTCTTTGAAAACCGAAACTCAAGTCCGTTGGGACTTCTAAGCATTTTACTGATTGGATCCATCCGTGTCATGACCCAATATGACAATTGCCTTGGTAAATGCATATCTAAAGCAAGATGTAAAAAACTGCCAAATCCCATCTCACAAACCCAACGTCTTCGCCTGTCATCAAATTTCTGGCATATGCGCCCAAATGACTCGACGTGGCAACTCATGTTAGGAGGCTGGCAATGAAATTACAGTAATTAAGTTAATGTTCCTATCCCACTCCCACTGACAACTGAATCAACAAGCAAACTTACCCGACTTCTGGCCTTTGAATGTTCAGCCATCACCTCCGCCCTACCTTTGACGGCCCCTCCATAACTTAATCCGTCATCCTAAGCACACTAGCAACTAAATTCATGCATAAACCATAATCGTGAAAATAAAGCAATTTCAAACACGCAGAATTTCGTAATCTAGTACCTTAAACAATTCTGGATACAAAGGCATGGTCTTCTGCTCACATACATTACCCTTGTTACTGAGCCCATACCCCCCATACCCCTTTTCATCTTCAGCCCCAACCTTCATAACCACAACATACCAAAACATTAAACCATAATTCAAAACATAAGCACATCCCCATAAAACCACAATTCAAAACATCATCACATCCCCAGCCTAAAGAATATTTTTTTAAAAAAAAAAACCCTCACCATTGTACGTTTTCGCTTACCATTCCCCGCTGACATTTTTGTAATCTGTCACATAAGAATACCCACAATAACCAATCAAAACAAATCAAACCTTGACACGATTTCACACCATAACACAATATCACATAGAACAAACGAATAATGACCACCAATGAATGCATAATTCACCTCATTCCATCAAATTTAATAATGGAATGAGCAGCATAATTGCACTCGTAATTAAAACAATCCCATTATATTCCGCAAATTCCACAAATTCCATTAATTTATTCAATTTATATCCAATTAACAAACATAATCGCAACAATTCCATTTTTTATTTCCACTTATATTCCTCTAATTCCACAAATTAACAATTAAAGTGAAACTATTACCATTTTTACTTTTGCTTTAACAGATCCGAACTGGAACTGCAACCCTAGCATCAAATTAATTATATCAACAGAAACAATCGATGTACTAAACATCGAACCCCAACCATAAAACATTCGAAAAACCGAAAAACAAAAAGCCAATTCGAAATTAAATTAAATCAGAAAGAACCTGGAAACACCAACAATTTGAGTTGGGACCTCCTCGACTTGAGTTCCGCCCAGAATTTGAGTTGGACCTCTTCGAGCCTCTTCGGGTTCGGTTCCGCCCTGAATTCCAGTTGAGCTTCAACGAAGTCGAATTGAAAACCCAGAATTCGTGCCTTTCTTCGACTAGGGCTTCAGAGTTTTCATGAAACTCCATAAGCGTCCAATGTTAACGGCGTCAATTGTGAGAAACCCAACATGATTACAATTGGCAAACCAAGTAAAACACGTCGGCAAAATGAGGCCACATCACCCATCCACCAAGTGACTTATAGTAGGTGAAATGTCGCCAATACCCCTGTGAGTAACATAACCTGTTACTCACTGTGAGTAATGGGGGCGCCCTCGTAATAATCACTACAAGTACATAGAACTTTATTCTCTGTTTTGATCGCATATATCTCGAATTTTTTCTCTTGAATTTGCCGGCAATTTGGGGGAAAATTTATGGGTAATTGTGACTAAATTTGCTGTGAACATCGCTCATTGTTGAATTGCTCTTGGATTGAAAATTAAACAAAGGTTTATCTATGATTTTCTTGGCAGCAAACTCATATAAAAATTTTTGTGGGTAGTGGGTACTAGTGTATAGCAACATTGTCATGGTTATGGACTTATGGGAGAGTGCATATGATTGGATGGCCTTTTGGGTTTAATTGTAGAGGCAAGTCAGCCATTGTTCCATTGATTTATATTCAACTTGGAGGTGTGGTTTGAGAGCTAGATTACATCATACTTTATTTGGTACTTATGGGAGTAAATTTTGAATTGAGAATTTGGCGCGAATTCGTTTCGATGCACTATTATATTTATTACTTCATATTGGTTCATTACATCCACGGTCCCAACATCAAGGGTTCTCCTCAATAAAACTTTGTGAGTATCCTCCCTCTTTATTTATTTATGCTTTACTTTAATTACACCGTGGACACTACAATATTCAAGTGTGGGGGAGGGTATTATTCATTGTATATATTAGGCTTTGGTAGTTTATAGTTAGATGTTTTAGTGTCATTTTGAATTTCTATTCCAAAATGTGAAATAAAAGATTTTCGAAAAGGAAAAAAAAAACATTTTCTATTTTTTTCATGAATTGATTGGCATTAGCTTGAGTAATTCGATAAGTAGCGTAAATCCTTTTGATGACAGTTATTTGTGGTAAGACGGTTTCGCTTTCCTCTTGTGCGATAAGTACCTATTGGAGGGCCACGAACCTTGTAAGACTCAAATCGAATACCCTCCTTCTTGATCGCCCCAATTGAGACTTGCATTTTAGCTTCCTAAGATCGATTATCGAAATGCTTGGATAATATGATTGAGGCATTTTCTTTTGTTATTTAGAGCTTTCAGATTCATCTTTAGGAATTTTTCTTTATATTTTTACTACCTTCTCTTGATAGCCACTTTGAGCCTTATTTCTTTCTTGATAACCCTTGTGTTACAAGCTTATGGTTTTTGTGATCCGTTGTTTGGATAAGAAGAATATTTTGCTGCATAATGATTTGTAATGATGAGCTCTAGTGAAGGAAGGTAGTGTTATGAAAAAAAAATTGAATAAAGTTGTGATTTATAAAAAAAAGAGAAAAAAAGAAAAAAAAAAAGAAAAAAAAAGAAGAAAAGATCATGTATCGAAAAAAATGATGAGAAATAAATAAGGGGGAATGTTATTATTGAATCATTGGAGTTGATAAGAAAGAGCAATGCGTTCATTGTTCGCAATTTGGTGTATGTATTCTCATGGTTAATATTTCTTGATTTCGTGCATATCAAATTTAAAGGTGTTATTTATAAGTTTTTGTTGGATTGATTTATTTAAGCACCACATTCCCAAATTTACATATCTCTCACCTTTGGTCCTTCTACCAGTGGAGGGCAAGATTTTGTGCAAGTCTTGACGAAGGTCATCAAATCGAAGTGAGGTATGAGCTAATATGGTTGAACATCCTTAGGGAAGGTTCAAACATGAGGAAAGGAAGCGGTAAGATTGGTTGGTTATTGAAGGGTGCTATAATTTGTCATTTCATCCATGCCATTGATTTGTGATACATAATTGAGTCTTGGATTAAAATGATTTTGGTTTTCAAATTAATCACTTAGTTAAGCAATTTGGTTTGGAAGTTCTTAATTTGGCTTTGTAGGTATGCCTTCTGAAAACCTTCACGAGACCATACTCGTCCACTAGGGTAGTGTTTAGGGTAAAAATACCCCTGTCCACGTGTACCAATCGTGTGCTGACACGTGTCAGCATCAGAGGGGTTCTAAGAGAACCAATCCTCTGGGGACACGTGGCACTCTAACCTGTGAAAGGGGAACTGATCCCCTCTCACTATAAATAGAGGAAAAACCTCATTTATTATAGATTCATAAATACACACCAAAAAACCGAGCAATATTAATTATAGAATTCTCTCAGAATCTGAGAGAAAAACCTTTACATTCCGCACTTTTATACATCCGGACACGTTCTAACTTGATCGTTGGAGGCGGAACTCCACCCAACCGGAGTTTCTGTGGTTTTGCAGGTACAGACGGTCGACGCGCATTCTTGGAATTGTAACTCTCCCGAGGGACTCCAAAAAACCTGAAACATTTGGCGCCGTCTGTGGGGAGAGTACTTTTGAGATGACATCAGAGTCTGTACCGCCTGCTGAAGGTAAACAGCCTACGGCTGAAGCTGAGGTCCACACGGACCAAAATAGTGGTGACTATCTTGAGGTCGACACCTATGTGGCCTTAGATGGGTCATTCAGAACAAGACGCACCCGTTCCAAGGAAACAAGGGAACGGGGTGAAGACAAAGTTGGTCCTAGCAATCTAACCGTCAAGCCGGCTGGGCTACCCTAAGCGGCGGAGGGTGCTGCTCTCGTTACTAGAGACGAACTCATCAAATTCATGACGAGTTTCAAAGGGGAGATCAAGGACCTGATAAACAAGTCAACTAGCACCAATAAGGGTTAGTCGGCCAAGAAACCTTCTCCCTCAGGGAAGCAGCACGTTAAGGATCGTGTGCCTACTCCTCACCCTAAAGCAAAGGGGGCGGATAGGCCCATGATCGACCTTTCAAAGCTCCGTTTCCCTGAATCAGGGAAAAGGAAGGCCATCCGGCAAGTTCAGCCAGATGGATCAAAAAGGACTTACTTAGATGCCCAGATGTTAATCCAACAGAAGAGAAGTCAACAATTGTCTGAGTCGGCCTCAACGTCAACTTACCTAGACAGTTTCCAGAGTACTTCAAAGAAGTATTCGGAAACAAACCGAGAGAGTCAGTCACGTGGCATGTCCGCACGTACTGGTCCTCGGATTATCCAGCCGGCTCCGTATGTGCACCAACAGCCATACATGCCAAATGGATCACTATACAAATAGACGGCTCTCTTTGGGGATCAGGCGGCAAAAAATGTCCAGCTCATGGACTGGCAGCTTTGGCTGCTAAACCTTGGGGAACAACCATTGGCGTTCTCCAGGGAGATAACCGAGGCAACTCAGCCGGCCAAGGTTAAGAACGTTTTGATTGGTACCTATGATGGTATCACCAACCCGGAAGACCACCTAATGGCTTATACCAACCTCATGTACTTACTGGGGTTGGATGACGTCGCCTGGTGCCGACACTTCCCGATGACATTGAAGGGTATAGCCCAACGATGGTTTGTTAATCTGCCAATTGGTTGCATCAATAACTTTAAGACGCTTGCATACTTGTTCGCGTCCAACTTCTCTATGAACATCCAAGCCAAAAAGACAAGTCTTGACTTGGGAACTACTCGGCAGGGAGATAGAGAAAGGCTAAGGTCCTATGTAAAGCTGTTTAATCTGATGAAAATTCAGATTCAAGGGCTGTCTTACGAAGTTGACTACACAGACTTCTTCAAGGGTCTGAAAGACGGGTCGACTTTCAAATTCGACTTAGTTAGAAATAGGGTGGCTACCCTCCAAGAAGCTCTGATGGAAGCCGAAGCCTATATACAGGTGATGGAGCTTTGTGCCATCAAGCAGTCGTCAGACCCTAAAAAGTCTGATAAAAAAGAGAGCCGGTTAGCTCAACCAGCCAAAAAAGAAGAGAGCAAGAAAAGAAAATAAGTATGGGTGGCGGATCATTCTGGTCAACCGTCCAAGAAGAAAAAGAAAGAGTTGAAGTCGTACGTTCCCAAGTACGAATTCAACAAGGACTGTTCTTCCATCCTCAAGGAGATTAAACACTGGTTGACCATTGAGAAACCGACTGTAGTGAAAAGTCCCATCAAAAGCCGGGACAAGAGCAAGCACTGTCACTTCCATGAGGATAAAGGCCATGACACCAATGGCTGCTATAGCCTCAGGCGGTTACTAGACCGTCTGGCTGGTGAGGGGGGGCTTTGAAGCCCTATATTCTGAAGTCCAAGGGTAACCCCCGAACAAACAGTGGATAGCCATCCAAGAAGCCTAACAACCTTGCTATAAGCTCCGACACTGATGAAGAGAAAATCTTTACTATAGCAGGCGGTTTCGCGGGAGGGGGTCTAACCATACAGGGCACCAAGGACAACATTAGAAAGCAAGAGGTCTATTCAGTGGATGAGGGCCAGGCATCGAAAGACACCTTCCCTGAGGTCATCATCTCTAAGATGACCCCATAGTCATCGAATGCAAGGTTTCCAACCAACGAGTGGGCCGGATCCTTATTGATATCGGGAGCTCGTTTGACCTTATCAGCTATCGGTGCTTGGCAAAGCTCAAGTACAAGCCTAGCAGCATGCATAAAGTCTCTCACTCCTTAGTTGGCTTTGGGGGGGGGGGGAAGTGCATCCGGCGGGAAGGATTGACCTACCCATCCGGTTAGGAGAAAAGGGGGAGGAACGACACATGGTCGTCAAGTTTTTGGTGGTCAAGGAATTGACCGCCTATAATCTGATTTTGGGCCGTGCAACCCCCAACGAGTCCAAGGCAGTCATCATCCCATCCCTCATGCTGATCAAATTTGAGAGGGATGATGGGTCAGCGGGTTCCTTGAATGGGATCAAAAGACGGTAAGGGAGTGCTATCTCTTAGACGTCAAGCCTACTGTAGCCGTAGCCGGCCAAGGCGAGGAACCTGTTGACCTTGATGACTTCAAGGAAGCCGCACTTTCTCCCAAAGCAACCGGCAAAAAGAGAAAGGCAGACCACCTGGTGGCCGTAAAATAAGAGAAGGGTACCTAGAAGATGTGTGTTGATTACACAGATTTGAACAAGGCATGTCCGAAGGATAGCTGTCCACTTCCAAAGATCGACAATCTAGTCAAATCTACACCCGGTCATGCCTTGATGAGCTTTATGGAAACCTATTCAGGCTTCCATCAGATACCCATGTGGAAAAAAAATCAAGAGAAGACGACATACGTCACTGATCAAGGGTTATTCTATTATACGGTGATGCCGTTTGGGCTGAAGAATGCGCCTGCTACCTTCCAACAAATGATTAATACAGTCTTCATCAATCAAATTGGGAGAAATGTGGAGGTGTACATTGATGACATGATAGTCAAATCTAAGCTATAGACGGATCACTTTGCTGACCTCCAAGAAACGTTCACCACCCTCAGGCGGCATAAGGTCATGCTTAATCCCAAGAAGTGTGTCTTTGGTGTTGAGTTTGAGAGGTTTCTCGGATTTTTTATAGAGGCCAACTCGGAAATGGTACAGGCGGTAATTGACATTAAGTCACCCGCACTGTCAAGGAAGTCCAAAAACTTACCGGTTGTCTTGCAGCATTGGGGAGATTCCTCAGCCAATCAGGTGACAAGTGCCTCTACTTCTTCCAGGCAATCAAAAAGAAGACTAGATTCAAATGGGGGGAAAATGCTGAGACAGCATTCCAGAAATTGAAAGAGCACCTCCACTCATTGCCACGGTTGGTTAGCCCTCTAGTAGGAGAGGTTCTCTATATGTATTTGGCCATCTTAGATCATGCTCTCAGTGCCGTTCTCCTAGCTGAGAGAGACGGCATTCAGCTCCCGCTCTATTTCATTGGCCATGTTCTTCGAAATGCTGAGCTGCGATACCCCTTGGTTGAAAATTTTGGCCTTGCTCTATTCATGGCAATCAAGAAGTTGAAACCATACTTCTTAGCACATCCGGTGGTGGTCTACACAAACCAACCCCTTAAGCGGCCAATGACAACCTTGGAGTCATCTGGCAAAATTCTCAAATGGGCTATCGAAATGCAAAGTTTGGAAATAGCTTTCGAACTAAGTAAGGCAGTGAAAGGTCAGGCGTTCGCCGACTTCATTGTCGAAATGACAAGGCCAACTCAGCCGGAAAATGTTAATCAGGTTTGGAATTTATATGTAGATGGGAGCTCTACTTTGAACGGCTGTGGTGCAGGCGTAATTTGCAAATATCCGGAAGGGGAAAAATATGAATATGCACTACGGTTCAAGTTCCAAGCCTCAAATAATGAGGCGGAGTATGAGGCCCTGCTAGCCGGTATCCGCATGTGTAAGGCGGTAGGGGCAAGGAAAGTTGACGCCTGCTCTAATTCTCTATTAATCGTTAGCCAATACCATGGTGATTACGAGGCCACCCATCCGACTATGATCATATACCCGCAGGCAGTCAAAGACGAGGCCGGGACACTTGACAAATTTCATCTAAGTCAGGTGCCCAGGTCAGAAAATAATCAGGCGGATGCACTATCTAAGTTGGCATCATCCGCCTCTTGTGATAAGCCTAGGTCAGTCTTTTGGGAAGTTATGGAAAAAAGAAGGATTGAACATGATCCCATTGGAGTTCTTGACCGAAGCTTGACCTGGATGGATGCCATCCGGGTTTATCTGGCAGACGTCACTCTTCCGGATGCACCTTCAGATGCGGCTGCATTGAAGAAGCGAGCCGCAAGTTTTGAGATTCTTAATGGAGAACTCTTCAGGAAGGGTTACCTCCAGCCGCTGCTGAAATGTGTTACCTTAGAAAGGGGGAAGGAAGTTCTAGAGGATCTGCACTCGGGCTTTTGTGCATCACATATAGGCGACAGAACTCTAGCAAAAAGGGCCAAGCGACATGGCTACTTCTAGCCCACTCTTGAGCTAGACGCCATGGAAATGGTGAAGAAGTGTGATAAGTGTCAAAGATTTGGCAAACTCATACACCGTCCGGCCACTGATTTTACGGCTATCTACAGCCCGGTTCCATTTGCGAAATGGGCATGGACATCCTGGGTCCACATACGCCTGCTACAAGCAGACGAAGGTACATCATGGTTGCTGTAGATTACTTCACCAAATGGGTTGAGGCAGAGGCGATGAAGGTCATTAAGACAAAGGATGTCATCTCCTTTATTTGGAGAAACATAATCACCCGGTTTGGGGTACCTATGTCTATGGTCTTTGACAATGGCCCTCAGTTTAAAACACCTACCCTCAAGAGCTAGTTTGGAGATCAAGGGATCTCGCATTGTTTTGCATCAGTCGGCCGTCCCCAAGCAAACGGCCAAGTTGAAGCCTTCAACAAGCTCATCTCAA